TATTGCTCTCGTTTTCTTCTGCTTGTTTTCTTTTTTCATTCTCAACAGGTGATCCAGGTGATTGATGTGTTTGTTTGTTTTTCGTCTGCTTATTTAGTTGGTTATTGTTTTTTGCCCTTTATCCCCGTCCCTCTCGTTTTTTTCCCCTCTTTCTTTCTCCCTTCTCTTTTCCTCATTCAGTCTGTCCCGTATCTAGCAAGTGAAAATAAAAAATAAAATAAACAATAAAAGGTGAATCAAATAGACCATTACGGCAAGGCTGGGATGGTCAATTTGGTAAAGAAAAACCGTTGGGCATCTTTCTTCGCCTTTAGACAATAATTCTGATGGCAAAAGAGCCAAAGAGGACAGGCAAAAAGAAAAAAAACCCAAAAAAACATGCTAGACCCTGAGTTGGCCGTGATGCATCCATCAGAGTGTGAATGTGTTTGTGTATCCAGCTCATGCTTGGATACAGATAAAAGGATGATTGTGAGCATGAAAGCGCCCGAGTGCTCAAATTCAGGAGAAAAGTGCTGTATGAGTACCAGCTCTTTAACCATCAATATTAAAAAATATTTATTTTTATTTTTTTAAGACATGGAGGAAGTATGTGCCCACTGTAGTGATGTGTGTGTAATTGGTGATCGTCCACTGTTGTGTAGTTGACAGGATTTAAAGAAGGAAGTTGGTCTGGTCATGCTGACATAGAAAGCACCGAGCACAGAGGGAATATTGTCCTAAGCTTAAAGGCTGTTGAGAACCATGGTCACATGATAAACACAGATGAGTCAATATTTAACAATCACAAGACAGAAAATAACTTCATGTATGGTCACACACACTTTTGCCCCAGAACATTGTGTCAGATAGTTTTTCCTTTGCTCAGCTGACCACATGTGGGTCATAGGTCACTGTGGCAAAGGTGAAGGCACTCAGGCGTTGCTGAAACCTGCTGTCCTTTGCAAGAAGGCTGTAACTGTGTGAGAATGAGACAAATGAAAGAGACGCGTCATCAGACAAAGAGTCCGTATTGATGTTGTTTATTAATTTTGAAGATACTCTGCATTTAACTGCTATTAGAACAAGTTTAACTTTGCTTGGTTTGGTCTCCCAGTCTTCACTATCAGATTAAATTACAGAAACATGCATTGATTGTTTGACTTTGAGTTAGACTGATCGTTTTCCAGGAGCCAGCCAATTAGAGGGCTCCCGTGGCCCCGCCTGACCTCTTAAAAGAATGTTTGTTGCTGTTGCGTGTCAGCGGTGCATTAGTGCATTGTGAAGCCAGAGCGGCAGTAAAAACTGCAGGATCCCTGCCACTGGATGCTCAGTGTCTCACCTGGCTGCTCTCTGTTACAGGTTAGTGTTAGTGAGAAACACGTTAAAACATGGAGAAACACACACGGGGATACGGAAATAGTGTGTGTCGTGTGTTGTTCTTGCATTATCCTGTTATTATTAACTGTTGTACAGTTAGCATTCACAGCTAAGCCTCTTCTTTTACAGGTTATTCCAGTTTAAGAGACTGGCTCATGTTATTGTCATGCATGTGTTGTGCTGGGAAATGAAACACTGAGTAGTATTAGTGTAGGTGAAACAAGCGCTCTGCAATCAAAGGATGAGAAACTAGACTGAAGGTTTCCTTGTAATGTGGAAGCGTCTTCTCCTTATAATATAAAGCACCCTAGAGTGACTGCTGTTGTGATTTGATGCTACATAAATTGAATTGAACTGAATTGGTGGATGGTCTGCCAAAATAATAAAAAAGATTATTTAAAAATGCTAAATCCTTTTTTGTAATAATAGTACTTGTAATTTAAGTTTTGAAGTTGATTGAACTCTTTCTGCATATGTGCAGTCGGGGAAAGAAGTATCCGACCCCTTGTTGAATTCATAATTTTGAGCACGTGCAAAGAATTGAGCACTCTATAATTCCAATTTTTTTTTCTTGGTCTTAAAAGAGAAACAATAGCATTAACATTTAACAGTGATGTATTTTGTTATGCAGTTTATGTAGAGTAACTGATACAGGAACCTGAACTCTTGAGGTACATTTCAACTCAAGCTGTGCTTTAAGTAGGATTGTTTTCTCACACTTCAGTTCAGTCTTACAGACAGTTTTTCTTTTATCCTGCTAATGAGAATGCAGCAACTTTCATTTTAAGAGCTGAGAGAGGAGAAGTCCAAATCGTGGGTCTGCCTTGGTGTTGCTGTGAGAAGTGCCGTCTGTGTTTTCTAGAGTCTAGACCAGGGGTGGGCAACTTCAGGCCTCAAGCAACAGTGTCCTGCAGGTTTTAGCTCTCACCCTGGGTCAACACACCTGAATTAATTGATTAGTTCATTACTAGGCCTCTGGAGGACTTTAACACATGTTGAGGAGGCCATTTAGCCATTTGAATCAGCTGTATTTGACCAAGGACACTGGCCCTCGAGGCCTGGAGTTGCCCACCGCTGGTCTGGACCATAAGGTCATCGTCTTCATCTGTTCTCACATGAAGATGTCACACTTTCCAGTCTGTTTATTTTTCAACAGCTTTGCAGTCACAGTCTGTGCTGGGAGACTGTGTGGACTAAGAAATGTGGACCCAAACGCAGACAAAATGAAGCGCTTTTTGTTATAGCTGATGGAAAAATTACAAAAATAAAGGGCAAAGCAAACAATACAAAACTAAAGAATAACCTAAATTGGCTAAACTAGAATTGAACATGAAAACCCTGGACATGCTTAACACGAATACCTGAAACATGGAACGCAGACGATCTGACCCCGACTGACAGAAAACTAACACACTAAATACACAGAGAGGTGATGAGGGGACTGGAAACACATGAATGAACATGGGAGCAAAACTAAACACACTGAACAGGGAACGCAAGATAATAAAACAGGAAACATAGAGAGACGCAGGCTGGGACACGCGAGCCTGACATGAGGGTCGAGAGAGGGAGAGGGTGGGAGCGAGGGACATAACTGGGATGAGGGAGGCTTAACTGTGTTTTTGTTGTAATGCTGAGAACTCCTCCAACTATTAAACACCAACACTGGCACAGAATGGGACGAATGCATCTGACGCCTGGGAGAATCTGTTAAATATATGATATACGATCCAATTGCACTGTAACGTGAGTCACAGCTGAACGAGATCGCCTGCTATTACTGTACGGGAAAAGCAGCAGTCTTTCATTTGGTTTCTGTACTTAACAGTAAAGAGATGTTGCACGCTTCAGTGCACAGGATTATTATTAACAAACAAACAGCCCTTACATTAGACCAAAGTCTTTCAGGTCCGGATAAACATCAGCCACTGCTGTCTGTGTGTGTCGGCTTGAAGATTTGGTTATATTCAGCAGCCGATATCTGACTTCTGTCTAAATCTGCGACTCTCCACCATTTGACCCTAGAACTGAAGAAGCTTCTCGGATGAAGGTGAAACGTCTTCAAGCAACTTAAAGAAGTCCTGATGCTTTTCTTTCCAAGCTCCTTAGACTACGATGACCTGGATGACTGAGAACCTTCACAGACATACAGCCCTTCTCAGAGTCTCCAGTGACATTTTGATGCTAAACGATGCAGGAAAATGTTCTGTTCTCCTGATGTTGCTAGAGTTGACCATCGAATTCTGCTTGAAAGGCTGAAACATTGGGTCGGTGTATCTGGATCTGCCTTGGAGTGGTTCTCCTCATATCTATATGAACGATACTTTTCTGTGACAGTTTCTAAATACCGGTCATCTTCCACTTCTAAGCTTTTACTTTTATTTCAGGTTTGTGGGTCAAGGACCTGGAGGCTTCAGAGGGGCTTTTAATAAATTTAGGGGTCCTAGAGGAACCCTTTTGAGGGAGAAGGTGTTACGTTCCTCTGTAGCCCCTAATCATCTCAATGTGTTCAGCTGGTGCTAATTGGCCACACCTAGTCAGGTGTGGATAAAAGCATACCTGAGGCAAGCTTCCCAGGGAGCTCGCTTGTCTTTGCCTTGATGGCATCAGCCATTTTAGCCGACCTGGTATTCCATTCTAAGATAATACCTCTTCTCACCTATACTCTGGTATTCGTCTCCTTTTTTATGTTGCGGCTTTTGAGCCAGGTCGTAACATAACCTATGGTGCGCCACATGGTTCTGTGCTGGGGCCTTTATTGTTTCTAATGTATCTACTTCCTCTCCAGCATATTTTAAGCCCCTTTGAGGGCATTTGCTACCCAGATGATATCCAGTCCCAAGATGTTTCTAAGCTGCAGATTCTGAATGAGAGCTTAGAATCCATTAAAGGTTGGATGGTCGACAACTTTCTCCAACTTAATGAAGGACAGACCAAAGTCCTTGTATGTGCTCCTGACAGACATGTACCTAAGATAATGAATGCTCCTGGTCCTCTTTCAACATTTGTGAAATCGTCCATCAGGAACCTCGGGGTAATCTTTGACCCGGTTCACTTTGGTGAGCCTGCTTTTATCACTTAAAAAAACATTTCTAAATTAAGTCTCGTACTGAACTGGAGATTATTATTCATGCAGTCATTTTATCATGATTGGATTGCTGTAATTCACTGTTTACATCTCTAAGAAAAAACTCCCTGGAGCGTCTGCAGATTGTCCAAAACGCTGCAGCAAGGCTTCTGACCAAAACATTGAAGTACTCATTTTGTTAACTTTTGTCTGGTTTTGATTTATACTTTGTCTTCCCTGTGTGAAGCACTTTGTGATCTTTTATCTAGAAAGGTGCTATATAAATAAAATTTACTTACTTACTTTACTAAACTATGGATAAAAAAAGATTCAAAGTACAATAACGATGTGTCTTCTCTTGCTCTTTCTAGGTGAACTCCTGGCCAAAAACATCTTCATATTGCTTGCAACCACACCTCAGGGCATTCAGTCTAACTGCACCTGGACGAACAGAGCAGAGCAGTCAGTGTTGTTGAAGGCACCTCATCGCAAATAACATGGAGGAGTTTATTCAGAACCTGCCAGATCTAGATGTCAGCTGCTACGTCAGAAACATGTCCACCCCTGTGTTAGTCAGCATGGGGGCTGTGCTTGCTGCGACAACCTATTACCTAGCAACACGACCCAGGCCCCTCCCACAGGTCTGTGACCTGCAGATGCAGTCAGTTGAGGTTCAGGTAAGTTTGGTCCCTGTCAGAGTCACAGGATCGATGATGCGACCCACAAATTACTTGCTGTCATTAATTCTCTAACAAGATTTTTCACACAGAAACGTTCCAGCTGCTGTCGTTATTGTTGCATTCACAATCTGTTTCATTGTCATTGTGAGGGTGGAGATTTGGCACGCCGATCAGTTCTACTGACCACTAACAGTCCCTTGACACATATCTATGATGATGCCACTACGTTGTATGAATTCTTTCTCAGAGGCGCCAGAGTGTCCAGTAAGTCACCAGTAATACAATTTAATCCCAATGTGGTACTTTTACTGTATAAATCAAGCTCGCATTCAGATTCATCCTTCACTGCACTGGTGCAGTAGTGATGATGTGTTTAACATCTCATAGTAACTTTGACTTTGTTGAATACAAAAACTGTATATAAAAGATGGATATTTTATTTGAATATTTAGATATTTTAATACAATTTTATGACACACGTTATGTAAAAATTAACCTCCTACGCAATCATTAAGGCAAACTTAGCTGTAGAGACCGCAACTGTTGTTTTTACAGTTTTCATATTAAACATGTATGCTGCTGCTTTAAAGATGAGCATTTAAAAATGGGACCCTTTTTCCATTTTTGCAGAGGAACGGACTGAAAAAGAAAGTGAATGACATGGATTACCACTCATGTGGTTTTTCCACATTAGAGGAACAGCTTTGTCACATGTATGTGCCAACCATAAGAGCCATTGTGTCGGTTGTTTTGGAACCAGAAGTCCATATTTAGATAAGAAGGTGAACGGCACAGTTAAATTATTTCAGAAATCTCTCAGTCAGAACATGCTATATCATGTTTAGGTAGAAACTAGCGAGCTAACTTCCTGCTAACTTCTAACTCCGTTAAATTTATTAAATCCTGTTTTCATGGATGCCTGGATGTTAAACTTAATTGTTACACCTGGTAAAGCAGCAACGCTGATCATTTTATTAAAGATGAAAGACTTTAGACAGTTTGTAACTCTCAGTGATGCCACAGTGTTTGTTTGACTTTGGGACCTGTGTACTCTTTCTTAATGCCAGAAGGCTGACAAAATAGTCAACACTTCAGTTTACTGCTGTGCCAGCAGCCAAGCATGCAGGGTAGGAAGTGTAATCATCTATATGTGTAATAGGGATATGTGTATGAAGACATCCTGGGAACACTTTTGAATTTCTAACTTTCCACTGTAGTAACTCTTCTCTTTCATCATCCAGGTAACGGTCCCTGTGTCGGCTCCAGGAAGCCAAAACAGCCTTATGAATGGATTTCCTACAGAGAGGTAAGAGATACCAAGATTAGCTCACCTTGTATAAACATTATGGCCTCCAGGGTGAAAGCTACAGTTTGCAGTCAGTATAAACAGTTGTTTACAAAGTGGTGGTCAAAAAGGTGACCTCGTCTTTTTGGTCACGTTGTTTGCCGGTGACATTCACTCTGCAAGTGCGTCATTTTATTCTGTATGCAAATCTGAAATCGTCACTTTGTAACTTTGTGCTAAATGTGATCACATGTAAATGAGAAGGTGAAAAGGCAAAATGAGCATAAATCAAACTTTGATTTCTGAGGATGAACAAGGTTGAGTTTGTCAGCATTAACAGCTGGTGTGTGTGTCTGTGTGTATATGTGTGTGTTTATGTGTTAGGTAATTGAGCAAGCAGAGAATCTGGGTTCTGCATTTCTTCACAAAGGAAACAGCAAGACTGCCGACTCTCACATCGGCATATTCTCTCAGAACAGACCAGAGGTACATAATCGCACACTTTCAAGGTTTTAGTCTTTACTTTAACAAGCAGCTGCTCTATGATCTCACAGCCTCATTACTTCAGTACTAAGATGAACCTGAATGTGCTGCTTTTTGACGACGGAGTCATTATCAAACTTAATCTTGTAATGTTTGTTTAAATAATTTCCCCCAGGGATCAATAAAGTATTCTGATTCTGATGATTCTGATTTGTGTGTGTAGTGGACCATCAGTGAGCTGGCGTGTTACACCTATTCTCTGGTGTCAGTCCCTCTGTATGACACGCTGGGAACAGAGGCCATCGGCTATATTATAGACAAAGGTAAACAATGGTGATGGCAGAGGTTTTTCTGAAGACGTTCAGCTGATTATCTGCTATTTGTTTTTGCAGCTTCTATCTCAACTATAGTGTGCGATGTGATGGATAAAGTCAATCTAGTGCTGGACTGCATTAACAACACGAAACACAGTGTGAGAACAATTGTTCTAATGGAGAGCCCGAACACCAGCCTGATCGAACGGGGACAGCAGGCTGGAATCCACATCCTCAGCCTGCAGGAGATGATGGTCAGAAGGCTTTTTCTTTTTTTTAAATTAATTATTATTATTATTATTATTATTTATCGTAATGTCTTTGTCTTTTGTGTGTGTTTATTTCATTCTTCTGCTTCTACCTTTAATAAACTTTATTCTTTTCCTTCAACAGCTTCTCCTTTGTTTTCTGTTTTTGTGCAGTGCTGTAAAAGTACTCAATTCCTTCCTGATTTTCTATTTTTTGTATATTTCTCACACTTTCAAATCTTTCGGATCATTAAACAAATTGGAATATTAGACAAAGGCAAAATTATAACTTCATTTATTCAAAGAAAAAAAGCTTCCCAGACCTTCTATGTGTGAAGTTATTGATCCCCCCCTTTTTTAAACCATGATTTAAATGCCATTAACCACATTCTCAGAAAGTTTAGTTTAATTTTATTTGATTACTGTCAAACCTTCTGACTCATGAAATCACTGAAATGCTAAACCTGTTAACAAAGTGAAGTAGGTTAAAAGAAATAAAGTTTAAAAGACCAAAAGGAAACAAAGTCCTTGACATCTATCAGTTACAAAGTTGTTACAAATGCAGTTCTAAGGGCGAGCCGGTGACCACAAATGGATCAATCTAGAAGCGTTCGACTGAACCATCCCTGGATTGGGCACATAATCAGATTTACTCCTAGAGTGCATCAATGACACATCGAGGAGGTAGTGAAAAAATAAAACTACATCTAAAAAACTGCAAGCCTTACTTATCTCAGTAAGGTCAAAGTTCATGATTCAACAATAAGAAAAGAGATGACATCATGGGAGAGTTACAAGGAGAAAATCGCTGCTGACCAAAAAGAACAGGCTCGTCTCAGATTTATCGGTTATCACAAATACGAGGGTGGCACAACCAGTTAACAGCTTTTACACAGAGCCAGACTGGCTTTGATAGCTTTTCATCTTTACTTAATGAAAAGTTTACTCTGATTATCTTTGTGTAAAATTCAAATTTTTCTAGTAATCTGAAACATTTCAGTGTGACAGATGTGCAAAAAGCTAATAATCCAGGAAGTAGGCAAATAGTTTAGTTTTGCTGTCCTTGCTGCTTTGTGTTTATTTGGCCTGTTTGCACTTTCATTTGTTTCTTAGATGGTTACTTCTTCGGCCTACGTTTCCTGTTGTTTTGTCTCAGTTGTCATCATTTCCTTTTATCTCTGTATTCTCAGATCTGTTAGTTAACCTGCTTTTCTTGTTGCACAGGCCATAGGGAAGGCCAACCACCAGGAACCACTGGTATGTAAACACAGGCCTGTTAGACTGTCTCTAAATATTGAGGATGCTGTCTGTTATGCTGTCTGATCCATTTTTACCTCCATCTCTTCAGCCCCCTCAGCCCAAGGACATGGCAGTCATCTGCTTTACCAGTGGAACAACAGGTGACACATCCACAGACTCACAGTGACATGCAGCCACTCTGATTTGAGTTAGCTAAAATATTTGCCATTTCTCCTGTACGCACTTTCAGGAAAACCAAAGGGAGCTATGTTGACACATGGGAATATTGTCTCCAACTGCTCAGCTGTCATCAAGATTACAGGGGTGAGGTGCTGATGTAATCATAGACCATCTCTCTGTTTGCTCATCGCACATCTCTTTGAAGCTGGTCGTTTGAGACCTTGTGGTGACCCTTCTGAGTTTTTCTGCATAACAAGAAAATGTTTTTCTAGTAAATGAAAGTAATCTGTTGCCGTGACTCTTAAGGCTTAAATTGTAAATAAATAAATGTGCAAAATTACAGAAAACATTTCAGAATTACTACGGACTCAATGTAGAAAACTAAAGTTTCTATAGTAGTTAAAGAAAACATTTGTTTGTCTGTTACTTTGATGTTATATGAATTGTCTCTTTATCAGTAGGAAAAACTGTAAAACTTATGAAAATATAACAAAAAGTGTTAAATGTATGTCCAAAGATTGCAGTCTTTGTTGGACCAATTTGGCCCCCGGGCCTTATGTTTGACTCCCCAGCTCTAACGTATCGTATGTCAGTCTAGTAGTTTCCTCAGGTGCTTGCCTGGAAGTTGAGACTTTATTGATTGTGGGTACTGCCCACTTTTCATCACCAGGAGTTTGTTCACCAGTAGACACTCAAAGTCACCAAATAGCCTTAATTTTTATTCTGCCCTGTCCCCACATCACTGCACATCGCTTCTAGTGTCTATGCAGCTTCAGGAAGGAGAAGGAAAGGAAAAATGCTGAAGGGAAGACAGAGAAAACACAGCTCACTAAGACCTTTAATGGTCTCGTCCCTCTTCTCTCCAGTCGTACGTTCAGACCGCTTCAGAAGAAGCTTGCTGTCTTTTCTGCATCTGTCCTACATGCTGGGGAGGGCGGGGGGATTACGAAGGTTAATGCTTTCCCTCTCTGTCTTTGTGCATGTGTGTTTGTCTTTGTGTTGATTGCTTGCTGTGTGTGTTTGTTTTAGACCACCTGTCCAGTGCTTCCCAATGATATCCATTTGTCCTATCTGCCCCTGGCTCACATGTTTGAGAGGGTCGTGCAGGTTTGTTCCACCTGTCGTTAAAAATCAAGGAGGATTCCTTCCGGCCTGCTGTGTCAGGCTCCTTTTAATAACATTGTCTCAAATTTCCTCTCCCTGTCTGGTAGGGAGTCATGTTGATACATGGAGCCAGGATTGGTTATTTCCAGGGAGATATTCGTCGACTGTCAGATGACATGAAGGTGCTGAAGCCTACGGTGTTCCCCGTGGTTCCACGACTCTTAAACAGAATGTATGATAAGGTATGAAGAAGTGTAAACACTCTGCTCATTTGTGTGCTATGATATCTTATAAAGATACGATTTTGCATAAATGCAGTGCTGATCGTAAGCTTTACTGATGTTGTTCTGTTTAATCCTGGTAATTCTTCTGGTGTAGATCTTCGGTCTGGCCAACTCACCCTGGAAGCGCTGGCTGCTGGAATTTGCCTTCAAGAGGAAGCATTCTGAGATCATGAAAGGCATCATCAGGAAAGACAGTATATGGGATAAGCTCATCTTCAACAAGGTCCAGGTATTCAGAGCCAGCACCGCTTTTATTTTAATACTATTTTGTCAGCTGCTGTTATGACAAAATGACTAATTGTCCATGAATATATACAGTTTATTATTTTAAACAACAGTGAAAAAAAAATTAAAAAACATAAATACCAACCTACTCGTTACCTGGGGATCCACATTATTAAAAGGAAAATTTCCATTCCAGGAAAATGGAAAACAGAGCAAACAATGACGATACAAAAACACTGTAGTATCAGAGCATTAACAATGTCTGAGTGAGTTTGTTTGGGATGCATTTGAGCAGCTGTGAAGTAAATAATGTGATGTGCTGCCCTCTGCAGGCCAGTCTTGGTGGCTGTGTGCGTCTCATGATAACAGGAGCAGCTCCCATATCTCCAGTTGTTCTCACCTTCCTCAGAGCTGCACTAGGCTGTCAGGTAACACACACACACACAATTGCTGAATGTAATCTACTGTTATCCTGTGTTGTTTTACTTCCGTAGTATGTGACATCACAGTAATGTCCTCTGGGATGATCCACCCCGCCCTCCTTTTGTCATTTTCCATGTTGCATAATTCTGTCTGTAGCAGCAGCATCACTAACGATTATAATAATAATTGTGGTTTGTGCTCTGTCTCAGTTCTATGAAGGCTATGGACAAACCGAGTGCACTGCAGGTTGCACAGTGACCATGCCTGGAGACTGCATTGCAGGTAGCACATAACAAAGCTGCAGAACTTAACCAACCTTACTTAACCTACTTTAACCAACTATGTAAAAGTATAAAATGATTACTGATCTGAAGATGACCTCAAACTGCCTTCATCTCAACAGGTCATGTTGGAGCGCCTCTGCCCTGTAACATAGTTAAACTGGTGGATGTACCCGAGATGAACTACCTGGCTGAAAATGGAGAGGGAGAGGTAAAACTGAAAAGCTGACATCAGCACATATAGCTTACTTAATGTCCATAGTTGTTTCAGTCATTCACACTAGTCACGTGTGCGTATGTGTTCCAGGTGTGCGTGAAGGGCGCCAACGTATTCCAAGGCTATCTAAATGACCCAGAGAGAACAGCAGAGACCATCGATGCAGATGGGTGGGTCCACACGGGAGACATTGGGAAATGGCTTCCGGTGGGTTCTTCATCTGTTCATTACATTAAGCTCAATACATATGTGGTCTGTGGCCACACCTGGATTCAGTGCGTGCACGTGTTTGTTTACAGAATGGCACGCTGAAGATCGTGGACAGGAAGAAGCACATCTTTAAGCTGGCACAGGGCGAGTACATTGCTCCTGAGAAGATAGAGAACATCTACATGAGGAGTGATGCGGTGGCGCAGGTATTTGTGCATGGAGACAGTCTGCAGGTAGGTCCTCTCTTTAAAACTGCAAGTTTCTCTAGAACAAAGTCCACTTTGAATGAGATACATTTACATGTTGTTTGCCTCCAGGCGTGTCTGGTAGCAGTGGTGGTTCCTGACCCCGACTTCCTGTCTGACTGGACCAGGAGGACGCTGGGATTGCAGGGCAGCTACCTGGAACTATGTGGCAGAGCGGTAATGGATTCAGAAAGCTTGCACAAAAGTCTTGAGCCATCCCTTATTTCTTTATATTTTTGCTGCAGGTGAAATAGGTGGAGCGATTTATAGAAACATGTGCAAATATAAACGGTTTATAAGGCAAAATCTGATGGCTAATTATTATGTATTACACACAACACTGGTTCGTCTGTTGTTTAGGTTTCTCTTTATGGTTGAATGACTCATAGGCCAGTGTTCAGCAGCTTAACAATGTTAATATTGAGTAATATATTGAGAATTTTTTCATTCTTCTGTATTTAGGAAGTTAAAGCAGCCATCTTGGAAGACATGCTGAGGCTGGGCAAGGCAGGAGGCCTCAAGTCCTTTGAGCAGGTACAGCACTCAGTCATAGTTGAAGTATTTCTGTATACTTTGAATTGTTTTTCCATCAAATATTAGAAGTAATATTATTATTGTCACTAACACCACCTGGCCACATGTCTGTTCTTTAGGTAAAAGCCATCTGCATTCACACCGAGCTGTTCTCCATCGAAAACGACCTGCTCACTCCAACAATGAAGGCCAAGAGGAACGAACTGCGCCAGTACTTCAGATCCCAGATCGACGAGTTATACGCTGGGATCAAAATGTAGAAGGACAAGTGGAGAGCGGGAGGGAAGAATAGGCGGCAGCTCTTCTAATGGTGCTTTAGATTCAATTAAAAGGGGAAAGAATAACTGAGGTACAAGCTGAAGCACACAACAGAAAGCAAATGAATGAGACCCTCGAGGCCATCATCACAGGCCTGTACTACAAAGCAGGTTATCTTTTTATTACCTGGCTTAATTAAAAGTAACAACTACTTCCACACACACAATGGTGCTTATCAAATCAGTAATGTGATTTTATGGACATAGACGAAGACAAGGACACTACAGTACAAACCCTGAGGACTCGCTTTAGTTCTCACGGCCAAACAACACGATTGTCATGCTCAACAGAACACAAAAATAATTTGACTACAGGATCTGTGGTACGCAAGACAGGAAGTCAATTTTAACTGTTGATGGAATTGATTAGTCTTTGATATTTAAATATTAATGATGATGATGATGCTGATAAGGTGCTGAGTCTGAAGAAGCTGTTTTTTGTTTGTACTTCAACTTTGTCACATCACAAATCTCAGTACCAGCAAAAAGCAAACACACATTGTGCACTTTTGTTTTGCATCATTCTCACACAGAATGGTTCACTGGCATTGATGAGACAGTTTGATGTCATGATTTTGTTTTAGTGTTGAAATTTTTAACAGCAAGATTGTTTCACTTGGTTCCTTCATTGTCTGCATGAATTAATTTAGTTGCAGTCAGGACTTGTCTAGGGGGATCAGCAGATGAAACAATTCAATGTTAGCTTACTGTACACAGGGAAGTCACTCAGGAACATACGGAGCAGACACAGAGGGAAAGCCTTGTTAATGTTTAATTACTTTATAGTGGGTTCAGGAAGGGAAGAGATTTGGTGAATGAATCGGTTTTTTAAATAATGCATTATTTAGATAACAAGGAAAAATAACATTAATTTGTATTATAATTGTTTTTAATGTCACATTTTGTAAAATATTTGATTAAAAAAATCGGTGTAATGTTTGTACATTGCTTCACTAATGCACAAACTTTAAAGATTCTCATTTATTCTTGTTATATTTAATCAGTCGCATTTGTTTTTGTATTGACATCAGTCACTGATTTATGTCCCAGATTTCGTTGCTTTCGAAGGTTCGAAAAAAGTTCTTTATGGTCTTTTTCGCATTCCGTAGAAATAAGGACTGTTCAAATCCGCTGTGGGGTTGGCTTTTTTTTTTTATTCTCACTGTAAACATTCTTTCGAATATAGTGAATTCAAAGCAACTTAAGGCAAAGTTAAAGTTGAGTCTCGAATGCAGTTATTTTATCTCTATAACCCCCACTTGCACATTTTTATTGTATTATTTTACACCCCTGTGTGACTGGAATGGTACAGTCCGGAACTTGAACTATTTTGCGGGAGCAGCGGGAAGCTGTTTGAGCTCCTCCGACTGACGAACAGCTTATATAACGTACTAAACCTACAGTTGTTCGCAATGAGGTGAGAACTTTCCGTTTTGATTTCCAACATTTCAACACTACAAGAAATATTTCTTTATACATACCGGAACACCTTGTTTGCTAAAAGAAACTTTTCGTTGACCTGCTGCTGTTAGCATGATGTCAGTGAGGGAAGTTATACTATCGAGTAACGAAAAGAGAAACACACTTGTGTTATAGAGTGTGACAACTAGTGGTATGTATCTGTTCCGTGATGGCGGTCACAGCTTCAAAAGTGCTTCGTTTGGAGCCATTCACAGAGCCAGAGCCTGCTTTATATGTACAGCCAGTTCTCAGTATTTGTATGGCCGCCCTCTTCTTTCTGATGTTGATCACCATCTCTCTGAGCTTGCTCACATTCAATAAAAAAACAAAAAACAACGATGTAGCAGATAAGCTCTTATTTCTTTTAATCTACATTCGGCACAAGAGCCGGCCTCTTAATAAGAAGCACATTTTGCCACTGGCCCAATGTTTTTATTTCACATGTGGGTGTAACGTAGCCCGTGAAAGGTTTAAAATATATCAGCTGACTGTGGCATGAAATAGGAAACCCTGATGAGTATTTACACGATGTGAGCCACTTATCGAGTGATGGTTTGTCTTGAATGGTTGGGTGGTGTGTCACTGTAAAGTGTGGGACAGCCTATCTACTCTATTAACATAAGTGACAGTCCTCTGCTAAAGGAGGTAATCATGAAGCACTTTCCTTTTAGTATTTTAAGAATATAACCGGCTCTCGTTATCGATATAGCCTCACCTGGGTCTATCCAGGTAAGAATTCCACCACAGCCTTGCGTTCTTTAACCAGGCTGGTAGGTGAACAAACCCAGCATCCAGAGCCAGTTAATAACATATGGCCTTTTGTTTATGCAGTGCCAAAAAGCGACGGGGAACCAGAGTGTCGGCAGCGCCTCCAGTGGAGAGCGAAGTAAGTTCATCCATGACTGGTTCAGTGTGATCAGATCGATTGGTCCTTCTTTTGTTTGCTGCATCTTTGAGGAAAAACACGTAAAAATAGTTGTTGTGGGGCAACTTTTTAAAGCACCTAATTATACTTTATTCCACTTTGTTTTGCTCAAATTTAGAAAGCGTCAGCTTTTGATCAAATGGATTCCACCAACCTGTCCTCTATAGACAAAGCTAGCTTCCTGGCAGGGTTACAGATAAATTATGGTAAGCCTATTGAATCTGAGTACCTTTGTCATGTGTTGTTATACATTTTCTGCTCCTAATGAACTTTGGCTGACCACATGATGCTTGTGTTGCCCAGGCAACCCTCTGCACAGTACCGCCATGGAAGAAGATTTAAATGTGCCTGAAGAAGAACAGAACAGACCAGAAAACCCAGGAAAGGCCACCGGCGGACAGCGTGGATCTGCTGTAAAGAGGAATGTGGCAGAGGAAGGTCGAGAGAAGAGGAAGGAAGAAAAGAAGGTAGAGAGGGGCAGGAGAAGTGCTGGTGAGAAGGGCCAAACCAGGTAAGTTATAGTTAATGTGCACTTACTAGTTTATTGTGACGTGAGTGCTGACTCTTTTTTTTTTAAACCTCCTGTATGCACCGGTTAGCCCTGAGAAGGAAGCCACTGCAGATGAACAAGCAGAGCCACATGTGGAGGTACATAAATCTGTCCCAGAGAAGGACAGTCAGCCTGCTCCTAAAGCCATACAGAAGCGTTTAATTGGGAAGAAGCCTGCCAAGAGGAGAAGTGCAAGGTGAGGCCCTGTACAAAGAGTGTGATGACATACAAACCCCTCAAAGCTCTAGAAGCTCCTTTCTACTTACCCAAATATTTATGACTGTGAGTACAGAAGCTGCCCCCCCACTCTGGAAGAACTTAAACAAACAACTTGAACTTGACTGTCTGAGTAATGATGCTGAAGTGACTGACTTTTATGTTATATCCCTACTGGTTTATTTATCTGTGTGTGTGTGTCTGTCCGTGTCCCACTAGGCCTGTGAATAATCAGCAAAGGAAGGAGGACAAGAAGAGAAAAAGTGAGTCTGCTAGTGGAAGATCCAGTGACAGTCAGTCACAGGTGAGGAGCTCTTGTGTGGTCATAAAGCCTTTCAAATAAAAATAGAGTTGAGATGTCAGATGTGCTGAAAATAATGATTTGTTCCAGAGCTCTGGCCCCGCCCCACAGAAGAGCAGGCGAGTGCTTTCATCTGATGAGGAGGATGTGGATGTAGACTCCAGCTGGGTATGGACTAGCATTAGCACAGAGCTTTGAGCAACAGTGGCAAATATGGGCTATATTCTAACTTTGCATCTTTTTCTTCATGTCATTTCCTCAGAATCCAAGTCCAAAGAAGGCCGTGAGGGGAAGCTTGGGAAGAATGAAAAAGTCTTTGTACGAGAAATCCAAAGCTAGGAAGTCTTCATCAGGTAAGAGCAAAGAGAACTAGTTACTGTCTGTTATCACTTTTACAATGCATAACGTCTGATTAGACTTCATTTCTGCTGCTGCGTTTGGATGTAAGGGTCAGAATTTGGTACACACAGCATGAAAGCATGACCTGCCTGGTATTGATGGTTCAGGCTGCTGGTGCCGGTGGTGTGTGGATATTTTCTTGGCTCACCTTGGGTTTCAGTATTATCAACTTTATTTAAAAGCAAATACATACCTGAGTATTGGTGCTGACTATGTGAATCCATTTATGACCACAGTGTACCCATTTCTGATAGCTGCCTCCAGCACGATAACACGTCATGTCATAAAGCTCAAATCGCGACAAACTGGTTTCTTGAACATGTTGTCATATCACTGTGGAGCAAATCTCTGTGGAATGTTTCCATCACATTCCTGATTGTAGAAATTGCAACATTTTAGAAAACAACAGAGGGTCCAACCCAACACTATGCAGGTGTACCTAATGAAATGTCCAATGAGTGTATTTGTAATCAGTATCTGTGGCAGTGTTTCACAAAACATGCAGTTGGCATGAAGGTGGGAGGCTGTTGTAGTCAACACTGTCGCCTTACTGCAAAGGTTCTGATCACATGTTGTTGTGGGGGTTTTTGTTGTTGTTTTTTTTGTAACTAACACAACAAACATTTGTTTCTGAACTGTATCAACTGTTGGTGTGATGGACCAAGCAGCCAATTACACCATTTTACCCCCCAAAAAGACTAATTTAAAAATAAAAATTAGTGGATTCATAAAGAAGCTCAACTAAGCATAACTACTGAAAAAGTGACTTCCAGAAACTTAAATGAGTAAACTGAGCACAAAGACACAGGAGGGTAACAGTGGTTTGGCCAAACCATTTACTCACAGAGGGAAACAAACACAAAATAACATAACGGCACCTGGCCACACCTTTTGCCCAGACAGGAAGCAGCCAGTATAACCACACAATGCTACTATGTGCTCATAATATCATTGTTAGGATAAAGTAGAGACATTAATGAATTATATTGCTAAAATAACTGGAATCCAAACTAAGGAGGTGAATGTATGGATTGATTTTGCCCATGTGTGGCTGATGCAGTCACAGTTGGCCTTCATCAGAAAGAACCAAAACAGATTCTAACCACATCACTGGGAAAAGTATCTCAGTGAGCCTGGCCCTGTGCTTTATTTAATATTACTGTAATTTAATTGTGATTGACATTTTTCCTTAAAAAATTATTGCTCAGAGTGATTAAATAATGGAGATGATTCCCCTCGAAGGCAGTGGATCCGGAGAACCAGAACAGGCCAGCACAGGCCAGCAGAGGAGGAAGAAACGAGGCCAACACAGAGGGACAGAGTTGGAGGTGCTGCTGGATTCCTTCCTTGACTTCTGTGAGCAGTACAGGTAAATTTCCAAAATTCAACGCTCATTCACCGTGACCGTCTCTGTAGCCTGTAATCTAGGCTTTAAGTACACATTACAGTCATTTTTATTAACGCCTTTGCATTGACAGCAGCTGTGTTTCACACAGATATCTATCACAGATAAATATTGAAGCAATGATGTTTACTTTAGAAAAGCTCAAAGGCTGAGTCAGGATGCAAGAAAACTGCAAGCATGCTGGTAGAGGTAATCATTCAGGTTGCCAGTAGCATTACTTTGTTCTGCTTGCTTTCAGGGAGTCTGTGGGGTCTAAAGCTGTCAGACACACCATTGATTGTTTCTCCAGCAATGTCAAAGACCAGCTCACAGAAAAGGTCAGACTTTCCTGATTCTGGTCATGATGTCAAACAGAGGTTGTCAAGGACAACACAGCTTTACTCTGTGTTGTTTTGAAGGATGCTACAAGCTGGATTAAACCAACAGTGTAATACCAGTAACTCATACATTGTGTAGCCATATTAGAGTGTAAAGCACTATAGAAGGACAGGATTACAGTGACAATTGTAATGCTAAGTATTTTGTTGGTTACTGACATTAAACATCATGAAATGCAGGGAGGTCCCTACAAGGCCTTTTTCATCTAACAACATAATAAGTAGTCGATCCTACTTCAAACTCTAGATGTCACGAATGGACTTATGATATAACTTGGATTTGTTTTCTCCATAAATTGAGTCTAATAGACAGCAGCATTTTGTTGATCAGCCATCATTAAATCAAACACTGTATTTGTCTCTTTCAGATCACTTCACTTAAAGAGCTCAAGGTTTTAAAAAGAGAAAACAACAAGGTAATTATGACGTCTGGCCAGCCTTACTAATGTAAGCATGGTAAAATACTAAATTGTGACCCTAGTAGCATGTTAGTACGCCACCTCTGATCAAGGATCCCAAACACGCATCGGGACTGGTTGGAATGGATCGATCAGGCTACCAAACACACTCAGTCAAGCTGCAGTTTGTTAATGGACATTGAATTAAATATTATTGTGTGTGTGTATATTTGTGTTCTTTTGACCCTGTGTGGATTGGAGGAAATCCTAAATGGATTCAAACAAAGTCTTGTTTTTTGATTTGTTTGGTTTTTAAGTCATTAAAGATTTGTGCTGCACAATCATTGCACTGGAAAAAATTTAAAAGAACTCATTAAAGTCCTAAACTTCCCATCACGATGAATTTACATAAGCATCTAACCACTCCACCTCCCTGCTAGTTAATGATTCTCAACTTTGACTCATTCAAAACGGTCAAAATCAGATCAATAGGCTCATTTTGACGTTTCTGTGTGTCCTTGAACTTCTAGTCTGCACGACAATAATCCACTTTATACTCTTGGAAGATAAGACGAGAACTTTAGTCATTTAATCGTTCCATATCGCCTCCTTACCTTCCGTATGAGCTGGCAGAATGTGTTAGACATGAACATACTGTTACTGTGATTTTATGTCAGAGTACTGATGCCTATGTTTAGCTCAAAGTCAGCGTCCATACTTTGCACTGAAGGGTAACAGAGCAGCTTGTATTTCTGTAGGTTGGGTAAAGTGCTTGTTTCCATTGTTCGTGTTAGGTGGGCTCTTTGATCCGTAAAAACACGCAGAGACTGTTTGATGCCAAGCATGAGATGATGAGGTGAGCAGCAGCTCACACACATGATTTACAAACAGCCTGTTATAACTTTTATGTCTTTATAGAGTCATTTATGTGAAAGAACTAGGTCTTGGAGAATGTAAAAGTTTACATTCTTTTCCTTTCACTGACTGCTGACCTCATGTGATTGTTCTAACAGAGCAGAGAGGCAGGCATGGTTGCTGGAGAAGGAGAAAGCTGAACTTCAGCAGCGGTTAGCTGACCTGAGACGAAGCCAGGCCTTCCTCCATGACATCAGAGAGCTCAACCGACAGTACCTGGACTACAGACAAAAACACCCCAATGAGAAAGAGACGGTAGAGATGCACAACAACATTAAATACCCAAATACTGTATTGTGTATTTCAATGATGAGCTGAATTCTGGTTCCTTTTTCCAGTACGGGGCCTCCAGCTTACCAGCTCTGCTCTTGGAGACGAAGCACATTAAAACAGCAAAGAGAAAAGAGACTTAAAATGAGTCTGGGAAATGACACAAATGCAGAACGTTTAAAGCTCCCAGAGACTGCACAATATGAGATGAGAGGCTGGAAGCAGCTTGACGGTTTGGATTGTAATGTATGGTGTAGATAAGGCTTTGTATATAACACTGTCCTGTTCATTTAGATCATAAATGTAAACTGGATGATTACTAGAAGTATGTGACATGTTTTATAGATTAATAATATGAATACATTCATATTGTATTTAATAAATTCAAATAATGGAACCAGAGTTTGTGTGCGTGTGTAGTTCAGTTACTTTCTTTATTTAACAAAAGGAAAGAAATTCCGGAAGCAGTCTGAACTGCTACTGGGATTTCCGCGGAGCTTCTGATAATTATTTGTCACAGCATTTCACCTGCCTGTGCAGAAAAGAGAAGGGATTGTTGGTAACTAAACAATAGTTGTCTAAACCAATCAGAGTTTGTCTTTTAGTAGCGTCATCCCGCCCACACAGAATCGGCGTTCCCATTGGCTCAAAGTTTCAGGTGTAAACTTTTAGCAGAGATTTCCTGGTTGGCTTTATTTATGTAACATACTTCATAAAAGCACTTTCTACTGTCTCATTAAGAGGTACGTTTATTTTGGTGTTTTCTACTCCGTTCGTATTTACCCTTATGAGTTACTCGCTGCGTGGGTTTACCGTGTTCCCGCTGATATTTACGTGTTTTATCAACTATTTGCTTCACTAACGCGTTTTCTGACGTAGCTGTAAACTAAACTGAAATTGTTTAACAAACCAGCTCGGGAGTATTATTTTTAGGTCATTGTTCACTCGCCTTTATTACTGTGTAACATTAGCTGTAGTAGCACTTTAATGGACAGTTGTCGTATGTTAGGTTTTTGTAGTTTGTGCTACTAGTCTGCAGTGGGACTCACTTTTACGGCATTTATATAATTCATATGGAATATTCCCACAGATCTGTCACTCATGTACGGGGTAATTATTAAGCTAACATCCAGGTATGGTGCGTGGAAGCATTTCAATTGGCTTAACGTAAAAACAAGAACGTGCTGATAGAAGGGTTGTAAATAATTTTTTGTTATCATTGCAGTTTCGTTATTAGCTCTAACTTGGTGTAGTTAAACAGTAGTGGTTGTTCCTTAGTATTAGTCTGCTTTGAACATGTTAACATTCAAACACATGGGTGTGTGGAAACAGCAGTCTGTGGTCCTAACCCCAAAAGTAAACCTAACTAATAATAGTCAAATGAACAACTTACAGGAAGCATCATGGGTTTTGTGGTTTTTTCACTTTGGCTAGATCACGTGACCAGTATTTATGAGAGGCTGAGATCCTCTAAACCTGAGTTGTTGAACGTGGGTCTAGGGTCCAGAGGTAGCCCAGCTCACTAAATGGGAGACTTAAAATATAAAAGAATTTCATTGAGGGCATTTATTAATTATTGGTATTCCTCCTGATGCCAGTGTTGTGCTAGAAACAGATTTTTGATGTTTCAGTGTGCTTATATTGGTAAATAGACTCACCATACATTTATGGAGGGGTTATATCTAAAATAAAGACAGGACCTGTTTGTCTGTATTTCCTATGTCTATACAGCCTTACTGCACCTACATTATAGTCAGTTCCATCAGCCCTTTTTGGCCATTTTAAATATCTTAATAAAACTGTGATGTTATGTTTGTTTGCAGCTCTCTGGGACAAATCTCTGTTGAAAAAAAGACATTTTTGGTGGCAATCAGTTTTTACCTGGGTAAATGTCTGTACAAGTGATTTTGCCAAAACTTCATCTCAACATCTACTTGGTGACAGAAATGGCTTTCATGAGAGATGTGTTTTTGACAGATTATCGGCCATGAGTCATTTACGACGGTCTACTGTTCAGCACAGCACCCGCAATTACAGGAAAATGAAATATATTTTTAGAGATGAACAAAAGACATAAAATACTATTGCTGTTTTTGAAACTAACTGCTGTGCCTTCACACCATTCCGTACAAGTGTAATATCCATTTAAAAGAGGAAAACTGTCTTAGTTCACCCAAAGGCTTTTATCTGCATCGGAAAATATGACCTCATCACGTAGCCTTGCTGACACCAAGCGACAGGCTTAAGTGACCAGTTGCTTGGTGGCATATGTACCAGTGCCATGTACTAGTACACACAATGTAGGAAAAATAAGCATCGTAATATACGGCTGGCTTATGTTAGTAGTCTTCATTTTGACAGACCTTTATATTTTACAACGTGTACATTATGTACTGCAGTGTTCTCATACACCTATATTTATCAAACTAACATCTGGATGTTTCAGAATTTAATTTTAAAAAATCAAACAGAAAGATACTGACTCACTGTTTTCATGTTGACAGTTATTTTCTCTTTCACACTGAGGTAACTTTTCTCATGATCCTTATAAAACACTTCCTGTTGTGTCAGTGGTTTCACTATGAGCTACAGTTTGGTGTGGTTTAACAGGAGTGGCTCTTCCTGAGTATGCTTTTAAACTGCTTTAACTTATATATTGACATATTAGTTAATCCATAAAGTAGATTCTATGTTGGTAAACACAAGGTTGAGTGTATGGAGGCACCAAACCCACAAACCACCAAACCACTGGTCTAATGTTTTTCTTATTTTTACTGCTCTTGTGCCTTCTGCCATGACCCCAAAATTTCCCACGTTTGGGACTAATAAAGGTTTATCTTATCCCTGTTACCGAACAGCTTCCAGGGTAACTATTGTGCTTGTTGTGGGGTTTTTATTTTTTTCACTTTGAGATTGTATAATCTGGCATACTCTATCAAGCTACATGACCTTACAGGTTGGGACTGCAAAAAAAGAAGAATCCCATTCCAGTTTGTTGGTGTGTGCTTCCCTGAGTGAATGTGTTAAATGCAGAGAGGAATTTCCCCACGGGGATCAGTAAAGTATACATTATTATTATTCAAGAATTGCACATCAATCAACTCCAAACGTTTTAGTCATGCTTTTCACAGTTTTGCAACTTGCACAACCCAACCAGACTCCAAAAATACACTTCTCCAGAAAGTGTAGCTCTTTCTTGAAAACACTGAGAATGGCATGTATTTCCTTGTAAAGTAATTGTTCTCCTTTTTCTAATGAAGAAATGCTATAGCATGATCTACATCACTGATCTTAAATCTTGAAAATGAGGAAGCTAATCAGCCTAAACGAAAATGCATGTGTTTTTAAACCAACTGTAAGCGTTAGTAGGGGTGTGGTCCACCTTTGGAGAGGATCCACGGGGTGTTTGGTTTCTTTATCTTCCTGTGGTGATTTCTATGCCAACTTTTGTCTCTTCTGTGTGCAGGAACATGGCTGATGGTGACATGCAGAGAGGTGGGGACACTGTAGATGCTGCACTTTGTGGAAATGGGTAACTATTGTGCGTTGTTGCTCACTGTCTGAGTGCCCACGTGTTGAGAAAGCTTAACTACTGTAGCAGCTCTGTTTGCTGAAATGTGGAGACTTGTGCACCTCCTGGCTGATTTGACCTTGGCTCAGGTTGTTTTCCTTCATATTTTAACACAAGTGGCTTATGTTACCGTCATCTTCACTTTGACAGCCAGCAGTTTATTCTTCAGTTTGCCACAGTGTGGTTTTAAACCAGCAGGATTAATTAGTAAAGAAGCTGAGCGTACAAGAGCTGCTCAAAAGAAAATGGTACATGTGAAAATGCTTAGTTGCACCAATGCTCTGAAGTTCTATCTGGTACAATGACATTTCAAAACCAATCTGTGTGATATTCTTGTACGTTTTCATTGAAGTCGTGGGTAAACAAACAAGTTTAGCTACAGTAGCTACAGTCTTGTTAACAACTTCTTTTATGTGTGACGGTGTTAAACAAGTTCTTCATGTTTTAAGTACAGGGCAGTCATGAGTCAGAGTGTGTGTGTGTGTGTGTGTGTGTGTGTGTGGTGTGTGTGTTGTGTGTGGATTGCTCCATCAGGGAAAATGCAGAGGCTGCAGGAAGTTGCAAGACTACTGAGGAAAAGGACTGGAACAGCAGTAAACCAGAAGCCTCTGATGTTTACCGCTACAAGATGGACTACCCCTGCATTGGCACCTGTGTGATTATCAACAACAAGAACTTCCACTCAAAAACAGGTAAGATGAGATAACCTTTATTAGTTCCACGTATGGGACATTTGTTTTGTTACAGCAGTGGACAGTGCAAAGTTGCATAGAAAATTAGAGAAAAAAACAGTGGATTGATATATCTATGAGATACTGTACACAATAGAATAGAATAAAATAAAATGCTAGATACAACAGTGGTAACAGTGGGTCTAGACCAGGGGTGGGCAACTCCAGGCCTCGAGGGCCGGTGTCCCTGCAGGTTTTAGATGTGTCCTTGAACCAACACAGCTGATTTAAATGGCTAAATTAGCTCCTCAACGTGTCCTGAAGTTCTCCAGAGACCTGGTAACGAACTAATCATGTGATTCAGGTGTGTCGACCCAAGGTGAGATCTAAAACCTGCAGGACACCGGCCCTCGAGGCCTGGAGTTGCCCACCCCTGGTCTAGACAGTCATTAAGATGGACTGAGACACTTTGCATTTCATGATCATTGTCTCCGTCTAAAACTCCCTTGTCACAGTGCTCGTTCCAAACTTCACTAATTTTCCAAATGTCATCAGCTGCGCTACATTGTGCCTCACACTTCACACTGTGGCATAAAAACAACCTGATACAGTCTTTTTAGTTTTTAACTTATCACAATAGGAAAAGAAAACATGTACCTCACATGGATATGACCTTGAATAAAATGTAAATACAGTGAAGACCAACACAAGATCCTTTAAATGTTATTACCCAGCACGTGTTTGGAGATTGAATGGTGGTTGATTGACCTCCTAAGACCCGAACTCTTCCTTCTTGGACTTCCTGTCACAGGAGTGTTTGTATGTTATAACCTTATCCAGATTTATAGAATGTCGGAGAGTGCTTGTTTTCTTTTTACACTATGCTCAATAATAGTGTTGTATTTGTAAGACATGACACCTCTATGGTGCAGATGTTTCCCTCTCACTTCACCCAGTTGTAAATGTGCACATGTTGTGGTGTAACAGTAGTAGCATCTGTAGGATCATTTTACAGCTGCTGCTGTGACAAATCCCAGTGTCTGCAGTGAAAAGGGAGATGGGATTTTCCCACATTTTTCCAAATGTACAAAAAGTCAAATGAAGTACTTTCCACTGCTTTGCTTTTTGTGCAGTTGCAGTACAAAGGAATCCTGCTGTGACAGTTACAATTCCAGTTCCAAAACAAACTTGGAACTAAAATGTAAAACAGAATGCAGCGGCAGATCTCACAGACCAAATGGTAAATGGCCTGTATTTGTATAGTGCTTTACTAGTCCCTAAGGACCCCGAAGCGCTTTACACATCCAGTCATCCACACACACATTGGTGATGGCAGCTACATTGTAGCCACAGCCACCCTGGGGCGCACTGACAGAGGCGAGGCTGCCGGACACTGGCGCCACCAGGCCCTCTGACCACCACCAGTAGGCAACGGGTGAAGTGTCTTGCCCAAGGACACAACAAACGACACTGTCCAAACCCGGGTTCGAACCGGCAACCTTCCGATTACAAGGCAAACTCCTAACTCTTGAACCAACACTTCATTGACCACAGAGCAGAGGAAACGAGCGCTGTCCCGTTCTCCCATTCTTGTTTAATATCAGGACTCTACCTGTACAGCACTCCTGGCTCTTATTTGTCATGTTCCTGTTTCGTGATGCTCCAGCTGTTTGCAGGTGGTGAAATATCTGGAGGCAGGTAGGCCAGTTCAGCACCCGTACTCTTCTAGTACGAAGCCACATAAAGAATGCAGTTTAAAAGACGATGGTGATGGTCCCCTCCCAGATGTGAAGGCTGTTAGTTCCATAGGCACTAATGCCAGATTCTGGGCGTCCAATCATGATATGATACCCAACCATGTTACTGACATGTGGCCAGTTAACCTGAGGTAACCCTACAGTGCTGTGAAAAAGTATTTGCCTCTTTCTCCAGTTCTTATTTTTTTTTAATAGTTGTCACATTTACATGTTTTAAATTTAACAAACTTTAATATTAAACACAGATAATCTGGGTTAGAATGAGCTGTATATTTATCATGAAATAGTTAAATGTATTAGCTTGATTTGATGGTTTTTTAAAGTTTTGTTGTGAATAAAATATCAGCTTATGAGATTTTAAATCATTGCATTCTGTTTGGATTTTATTTCCAGGATTTCCAGACGGTGCTGACTTTATAGTGTGCTGCCTTTCTGCTTGTGTATCTCTGTAGGGATGGGCACTCGTAATGGGACAGATGCTGATGCTGCCAATGTTGCAAAGACCTTCAAAAACCTGGGTTACAAGGTCAAAACATTAAATGACCAGACTGTGGCTGAGATGAAAAGGCTGTTGTTAGACGGTAAGAAGACGTTAAAGCTTTACCTCTGTATTCACAAAAACCTCTCCATCCTGTTACAGTCAACCTGTGAGCTGATTGTAGTGAAAGGCTGTGGTTGTGGTAACCACCAGACGGCAGTTGTTCTAATGTTGCTATAGCTTTTTGTTAGCAGTTGGCGGATGTGATAGAGCTACACCAGTTACACTTACATAACAGGTACTGTCTGGTTTGGTTTTAACCAATCATCCCAGTCGTTTTAGGAGAGTAGCCTTAGCCCATTAAGAAAGAAGAGTGAAAAAGGATGTGAAGGAACATAAAATGTCCAGAAAATGTTATTTTTGTTCATTCTATTAGAGTAGCCCCGCCAAAATAAAAGCACTGGCTTGTGAGTTGGCATCAGGGGGTTGTTTAAAAACAGCTGGACTAATGATTCCTTGGTGTTTCCCCTCTGTTCTGCTGTGTTTCCAGCATCCAAAGAGGACCACAAGAACAATGCATCATTTGTGTGTGTGATGCTTAGTCATGGGGATAAGGGTGTCATATACGGCACTGACGGCTGTGAAAAGTTTGATACGCTGGTACAGTGCTTCAAAGGAAAGCACTGCAAGGGTCTGGTGGGGAAACCAAAGCTCTTCTTCATACAGGTGAGTTCATTATGGCAGTGTGGTACTCTTCTGCGATGTGTCTTCACATTCCCGTTTTTCAGTCTTTATATAGTAACGTCTTCATTTGTAGTTTATTAAGTTCAAAGTGTTGCTTTAATTGTCATCTGTTTTGTAACTTTTAAAAACAAAACAGTGCTTTCACTTTAAATGTACATGAAAAAAAAAATTTAACCATTGAATTTCTTTATATTTAACTGATGAGCCAGAGCTAACACACCCACTTTTTAGCCACTTTGATTTCCTCCAGGACCTTTGAGGACAACTTGCCCAACACAGATGTTTTGGATATAAAGTCCAGATGTTTCTTCACATTGTTCGAGAGCTTTAGTTAATGTGGGGAGGTTTTAAACTACTTTTAAAGATTGGAATTTACAAAATATACCTTTAACCCTTTTTCTTAATATCCAATATGACTGATAACTTTTGTTTATATGTCCTGGTGCTGCTGAAATTCAAGTTCATTTAGATAATGCTTCGAATAACTGCCCGCCCAAGTTCCCTAAGGTGTTTCAAGATGTGTGCCAAATATGAGATCGATTTTGAGTTTCTCCTTCCTTTTCAGGCATGCCGTGGTTCAGCCCTGGATGAGGGAGTCATTGAGACCGACAGTGAAGGAGACGAGCAGACGTCTGAGAAGATTCCTGTGGAGGCCGACTTCTTATACGCCTATTCCACCGCTCCAGGTACAAACAGTTTCTCAGACGGGACATTTTAGAGTGATGTCCCGACCTCAGGACCCACCTTCTGGGTCATTCTCATAAACCGATGGGTTGGGGTGTGAAGAACAAGCATCGACACATTGTCCTGTTCATTTTCTGTCTATGCTTCCCTTTTTCTGTTTCCTTTTTTTTTTTTGGTCTACAACGCAGCTGATGTGTCACATGTGCTGTCCAAACTTGTTTTCTAAGAGCGCTAACGCTGTCACCCGTCCTGCAGGATACTACTCATGGAGAAACACAAGCAACGGCTCCTGGTTCATACAGAAGTTGTGTGAGATGTTGGAGCGCTACAGTGGGAAGCTGGATCTGATGCAGATCATGACGCGAGTCAGCCACGGTGTTTCACGCCAGTTTGAGTCGTCCTGCAACCTGCCTGGATTTAGCAACAAGAAGCAGATCCCCTGTATCGTCTCTATGTTGACCAAAGACTTTTACTTCCCCGTCTAGATTTACATGGTTGAACCTAATATCTACCCTCTGGCCACCTTGAATGTATACAGTCTGTTGTGGTGTGCTGAGCAGGATAACAATGATTTAATTGTCACTATACCCAAATGCACTTTGCACTGAGGTAAAAACACATCAGTGTTGGATGATTTTAGTGTTCGGTCTTGTTTGGGAAACGCAAAACACTATTAGTTCCATAGTTAAAAATATATTACAATAAAAAAACTTATACTGATGCGACAGCTTCCATCTTTTGTCATGTGATCATGCTGTAGGTTTGACACTTCATTGTGTTGCAATGGCCCAAAGTCCAGACCTCAACCTGACTCAACTGTTTACATGCAGTATCTCTCACAGAGGAAACTTTAATATCACCTGTCAAAATCTCACTTGTTTTATTCTGAATTTTACACACAGGAATAAGATCATTGATCCAACTGACCAAATCATTCACACAGCTGGTTTGAAACGTTTGAAGAAAATTCAGGTCAGCTGATGGTTCAGTAGTATTTGCTTTAAAAGCATATGTGTGGATATAACCTGTAACATAATGCTATCACAAACACACCCGAGATCGTATGTAGAGCAAAGTTGCACCAGCAATGTCTAAACTAAAGCATTATGGAAAATTACATGGGATAAATTATCAATATGTTTAAGGGACAAGTAAAGAAGTTCAAGCCTCACAAATAACTGAACTCATTTTATGAAAAAAGCAGTCTTGATAAATGATTACTGAATTTTGAATTTGCCACAATAAAAGACACTTTCACATTTGATTGGATGAAGAATTTCAACCTCCTTATGGAATCTTTATTTTTTCACTGGCTTTGATTTTCTTTTGCTCTGCAATTTAAAAAATTAAGAAAATTCCCCTAAACTGATCATATTTTCAAAAACAGATGGCGCAGTCCTTTAAGCACAGAACTTTAGTAACGTTGTTACTTCGCGCCTCTGAACAGGAAACAGAACCCATTCTGCGTCCTCGGGTCTCTGGAGCTGAAATTTGCAAGTCTTGTTTTCTTCCAACCTCTAAAAAGCAGAACGGGACAAAGGAACCTGTATCTTCGAGATTGCACATTTCTACCCTCTTTTCGACCAAACTGGTCCGGCTCTGTGGAAAATATCTGCTGGCACAAAGTCTAGTTTTGACCACAAGAATTCTTTTTGACCAACAAAGTAAAGGAAGTTATTTTAGCCTCGTTTCTCCTTATGTTGGAATAGTTTGGTTACACGGATATTGACACTAAACTCAGTTGTCACGTTTATGTTACGAACCTGCGCAGGTTCTTATACTGTCCAAATTCTATATTCATAAATCCAAGTTCTCCTGTAGTAAGCCAAATTTCATTCAATTACTTTTGTATATATATTTTCTCAGTAATGGGCAACAAGAATAACAACGTGTCGCCTTTTTAAACATTTGAATATACTCCTATAATGTGTCTGAACGAGTAGAGACCCCGGGCGCTTTGTCTCTATGGTATACTAACTTGCATCTTCTCTACTCCTTCTGTGTTCTTGCCAGCCTGATGTTTCGTCTTGTTGTTCTCGGTTTTTTTTTTTTTCGAACTGAAATTATAAACTGAACAGTCAGTCATTCCAGTTCAGTCTGTACAGTAGATATCCAGGACAAATAAGAGTAACAATAAACAGTACAATGAAATAAGGGTAAATAAATAAAGGAAAGGAAAAAAAGAGGGATGTGACAGACTTCATAACAACTTTGTACTTGAAAGTTGTAATTGTGACAGCTCGTTTGTTAAAAGTTTCTGAATGAATTTCAATCAATGATAAACCTTTTTTAAAAATTAATTTAAGAGACTTTAAGTAATATTCAATTTCAATCAAAACAAATTAAATGATGGGGTTGAGTTTTGAAATTTACATTTATGTAAATGAAATTTCCCGATATAAAAATTGACAATGTCTTGTTGTTCTCAATAAAGTTGGATTTTAAAAAAGTGACGTTGTCTTCTCCCGCCCACACTGGGACGGCGTCCTGACCGGCTCAGGTCTTAAGTGAGATTTCCTGTTTGACGTTATTTATGTCACAGATCTCATAAAAGCGCATTCTACTGTTTTCTACTGTCTCGTTACAGGGTACGTTTATTTAGGTATGTTCCACTTTATTGGTTTTTACTCCTGTGAGCCGTTTTGTTTCACTTATATGTTTTTCTGACGGAGCTGTAACTAAAATGAAACTGTTTAAAAAAGCAGCGTGGGGATATCAATTTTAGGACTTTGTTCACTCGTCTTTATTACTGTGTAACATTAGCTGTAGTAACAATTTAATGCACAGTTGTCGTATCTTAGGTTTGTAGTTTTTGTCTGCAGTTACATTTTACGCACCTCATCCCAGTGTTGGGGTAATTTATCAAACTCATATCCTGATGTTGTCCGGGAACAAAATGAAAGTTTAACATTCAACTTTAGATTTTGTTTGTAATGAAATAGAGAGATTCATTTTGTCCTTTGTACTATAAAATGGGTGTATATGGTTTTTGTTTCGCTATGAGCTACATCTTAAGTTTGGTTTAGCTTCCGCTTTTTTGTGTGGATACATCAGAATCTGCTTTATGTCAGGCTGTGCCTCCATGCACCCAACAATATAAACTGCATTGAACCAAACAATTAATATTCATGTGAGCAACTTCCTAGTTTGACCTTGCACAGTTTGTATGCTCTGTTAGACTGTTAGGAGTCACAGGGTGTTTTGTCCTCTTTCTGTGGTGACTTCTTTCTCTGTTCTGTGCACAGGAACATGGCTGATGGTGACACGCAGAGGGAGGGGGACGTGGTGGATGCCAGCCTCTTCAAATTGTGGTAACTATTGTGCATTACTGCTCACTGTCTGACTCCGCGTACAGTCATATGAAACATAAAGTTTCTGCAGGATGCTGTACAGTCTGTGAAAAACATGCACACCCAATGATTCAGCAGCTTGCAGAACCACGTTTAGCCACACAAGCTTGAAGTAATTGTTTTCTGTATAAGCAAATATTCCTCTACAGTGATGTCCTTATCAGTTCATCACAATTTTGGCTCGCTCTTCTTTGCTACATTGCCTCAGTTCATTGAGACTTTGCAGGCATTTATTTATGCACAGCTCTCTTCGGGTCTCGTTACAGGACTTCGGGTGATTGCAGCATGTTGATTCTTTGCTTTTTCAGCCTTTCTGTTCTAGATTTGCCGGTGCCATCAGGATCATATGAGCCTTAGCTTTAGCTATTAGGCAGATGGCCTCACAGTTCATTTTAGAATAATTTGCTATGCAGAGGAGTTCATGATTGACTCAACGCCTGTCTGCTTGGTGCCCAGGTCCTGTATCTGCAAACCAAGCCCAAATCATCCCCCTCAGTCAGCATGAGGTGCTCTTTTTGGTTTTCTCCAGATTTGTGAAACCCTGCTACCGTGTTCTTTTTAGAGAGAAGAGGCTTTCTTCTTCCAAACAAGCTGCACTTTTTCTAATTTTCCTGTCATTAACCTTTCATTTCATCATTTAACTTACTAAGTGTTGTTTTTCTAATTTTTCTGAGCATTGCCTGACTCCTGGAAACAATTTTGGCATTGTAGTAACACCTGACCTAAACAAAGATATTTATCTACAATATGTATCTGCACAGTTGTTAAAATGTTCTTCTAAGTATGATGCCCGCTAAACAAGTTCTTAAGTTCTTCAGTGAAGGGTAATCACATTGTTTGTGTGTACACTTTCAGGAAACAAGCAAATGCAGGAAAGGATAAGACCAAGGAAACGAACAGCAGCAGACCAGAAGCCTCTGACTCTTACCGCTACAAGATGGACTACCCATGCATCGGCACCTGTTTGGTTATCAACAACAAGAACTTCCACCCAACAATAGGTAACAGTGGGTCCATCCTGCCGCTCGGGCCACACTGACTCACACACAAATAGATTTGGCCTCTGCCTGGGCCTTCCTGTTGCCATAGTCACCACTGTGATTGACTACTGCTGTCTTTCATGGAGTTACAGCGGAGAGGAATCGTGCTGTGACAGTTTAAAGAAACACTTGATTAAAAAGACAAAAAGAAACTGGAGTCTGTGTCATTGCTCCAAAGATCAGGCTCAGTGTTATCAGTCCAAAGTCAGGGTGAAGTCAGGATACACGTCCTCTTTGAAAATATACTGAAGACGCTGATGTTTACAGCGCGCTGCCTTTTCGCTGGTGTGTCTCTGCAGGGATGAGCACTCGTGATGGCACAGATGTTGATGCTGCCAATGTTGAGAACACCTTCAGTAAGCTGGGCTACAAGGTCAAAGTGCACCATAACCAGACTGCGGCGCAGATGAAGAAACTAATGCTAGATGGTAAGAAGAGTTTTGGGTCATTCATGTTTACGTGTGTGTGGAGAACGATCCTCCCCGTGCCGTTATGCTGAAGTCAGCTGATACTGTCTGCAGCTGGATCATGTTTGTGATTCAGTTTAATGCTCGTTTACTCTTTTTGCACTGTGAAAGAGACACTCCAAATGCAACAGCAGGTGTATGTGCAGTCATATAAATTTAGATAGATAGATGTGGAAAAACTTAATTTTGACCAGGTTTTAAAAAGACCTGATGTTAATGAGCAACTATAGAAACAGCACTCTCAACACCTGAAGATTACGATTTTTTTAAACTATGCAGTTTAAATTATTCAGGATTTATATCTGTTTAATTTCTTTCCTAAATGGTTTCTTGTGATTGTTCAGTCAAAGCTTCATCATCATCATGTGACCCTAAACCTGACTGTAGGGAATAAACCATGCAGAATTTATGCGAAACTGCAGGAACCGTCTGACGATGAATGAATAAATAAACACTTTAAATATATTACATAGATGACTTAACTGTAGTTTTAATAATAATTTGAGAATTGCATCATTTTAAAATGCAGTAAATTGCTGCGTTAACCGCCTGCGCTCTGCACATCTCTGATAAATCGCTGCAGTAACTTTAAGGCCAGCATTTACAGACAGATCAGAGAGGCAGAGCATCAAATCAATCACACATAGCTGATCGTTCAAACAGAAGGCCAACGACTTCCAAACACAAATATCCGCTCGATGCCGGCTGTGATTCGAACACATGTAAACGCTATTCCAGGATTCAGAGACAGAAAGTATTTACAGAACTCTGTTACAAAAACAATCATTTTCTTTTTTCCCCTCAAACTGTATGACAAAGTTCAAATGAGGGATTTTTGCTTTTCTCCTTTTAGCGCTCATAATTCAGCGGCCGCGCTCCGTTTGAATATCATCGCCTCTTAATGATCGAAGAGATAAGCAGCAAAGCCCGTCTCTGCCTGTCTGTGAAGCCTTCTTAGTGTGTTTTGACCTTTAATAAAATGAATCACAAAAGAGTTTTCGATTTTTATTTTACTGTTAAAATCCGTTTTTAAAAGTACGCGGTCCAGAATGTTACGAAAACTGTTGTTAATACATCTGCAAATTTTGTGACATCATGTTGAATTTATCACAGAGTGTAACTTACAGAGTAACTTAACAGTAATTTCTTTAAAAAGAAGAAGTTGGTGCAACGATCTGACAACACGCCTGTTTATTTCATTTCAAATTGTCGGTGTTAACAGAAACAACGAAAACTGAATATCAAGCAGGAAAATCTTAAATGTATGGAATTCACATGTCAGGATAGACTGCTTCTTTTTTGTAGTCCTCTAATGTCCCGTTTTTGGGAAGACACCATGAGGTTGCTTCTGTTTGCTCAGTCCTGCCTCAAAAAGTCAGAGTGGTCAAACTATACATTTACAATGAAAGCTTTCAAAAGAATGTGAATTTCAGTTTTATTTATACAGTGCTGAATCTAAACTGTGGCCTCAACGTGCTTTATATTATAAGGTAAAGACCCTATAATAATGCTGAGAAGGTCATCTATAGCTAACTGTCCAAGTCCAAGTTTTTTGAAAGAAAGCGCCATCTCCTGGTGGAACCCTGGAATTTAGTGAAATGGGCGTGTTACAGGGTAAAAATAGATCCACTCCAAGGCTGACCCCTGGCTGACCCCTGGCTGTAAGTGAAAATTTGTGCAAGAACACAAACTGAAGTAAATCCTCAGGAACAGAGAGGGGTACTTTGAGCTGCTCTTTATTTCTAAGTGGATCAGTCCAGAGGATGGATCCACATGATGGCTGAGCACAGCTTTATGCTGGATGGCCTTCCTGACACGACCCTCACATATACTGGGAGCAGGACAGTGAGTACACAAACCTGTGTGTGTGTCTCCTCTTGAATCAGGGATGTTTTGTATGTACAAGGTTACAAAGTGTTAACCCCAACACCATGACGCAAGATCTCACAACCAATTATGAGTTAATCAGAGGCTGTTTGTGTGTTGCCACTGCCCAAGCAACACACCTGAGTTCATTACACTCAGCTGCCCCTCTGCTCAGTCAGCTACACCCTCCCCTGCTCCAGAGACATGTGGCCCGTACTCAGGAATAAATCAATCCCACGTCTGTGCTGCTCAACCAGCTTCCTGTTAAACGCCATAACTGACTTTAACCTGCTGTCTTCAGATTTCCAGCCTGGATCTTATCATCCTGTCCAAGTTTCTTACCTTATCTTAAATCATTTTTAACTTGATATGCAAAATGTTAGAACTGAGAATGGTGTTCATTCTTTTTCACGTGGCTGTAAAAGTGAGTTAACAAAGTGAGTTAACAAGCCACCTGCGCCCTCCTAATTGACCAAAGCTTTGTGTTTCTGCTAGCAGTTGTTAGAGGGCCATGCTAACTAACAAATAAAAGCAGACTGGACTGTTTGGGAGTGTGAGCTTTAATAGGCAGGAGCTCCAACAGCGTACATGTACTGCAGAAATATGAAGTCCCTAAAAACCTAAACCTATTTTAGTAGCACTCTTTAAAACAACTGGACTAATAACTCATATTGTTTCCCATCTACTCTGCTGTGTTTCCAGCATCCAAAGAGGACCACAAGAACAATGCATCATTCGTGTGTGTGCTGCTTAGTCATGGAGATGAGGGTGTGATTTACGGCACCGATGGCCCCGAAAGGTTCGATACCCTGGCAAAGTGCTTCAGAGGAGACTACTGTGCGGGTCTGGTGGGGAAGCCAAAGCTCTTCTTCATTCAGGTTAGTTAATTATGCCAGTGTGCTACACTTCTGTGAATACAGTCATGTTTTCACTTGTATTTGATCAAGCTGTAAAATATTTCCATTGATCGTAATTTGCTTTGGAACTTTGATAAGGAGTCTAAACTCACTTTCAATGAGAAAAAGCTAATTACTACATGTTACAACATTTAGACTATGTTCCCTTTCTACAGTTGATGCCACCGTAAAACAGGTGCAGCTAATACCAAATACTAGAGAGCAGTTATCCCCATTTCCTCAGGAGGCGTAGCCTTTTGCCAGTCTTCCTTCTAAATGACAAGTTCCTCTTAATAATGTTACACTGTGTCACTGCACCATCTTGTGGTACGCATTGGTATTACACCCAGCTCTACTTCAACATGAGTCCTGAGACCCAGCCGATTCATTTTGTCCTCTGTATTGGTCAAAATGAGTTCAACTGAAAGATGCTTGTTTTCCTCAGTATTCAGGAGGATGACAGACACAGTTTTTTTCCTGAAATTCTGTTTTTGGTTTAGTCCATTCTGGAAAGTTATAACAACTTTTAAACACACGGATGTACACGCCTGCTTGACTGTGACAACCTGAATGCTTTTGGTGCTAAGATTTAAAATACTTGCAAAAAACTGGATGTCTAGCTGTACATTACATCCTCCATCCACCAGAAACATTCAGGTAGTTACGCCTAGCTTATTCCCAGCCACCTCACCTGGAGCAGTCAGCTGGGTAGGGGAGGTCTGGCCATCTCTGCTTGGATTAGTGTACCTGCGACACAGAGATGGATAAGTGACAGAAAATGAATGGATGTATGGAGCTTTTGAAAAAGTACATACAAGCTGCTTTTATCAAATTTGACTGGTGACTTTATACAGATGTTTATACAGATGTTTCAAGATGTCTGCCAAGTGGAGCTTCAAGAAGGGCTTTGATAATATCTGCTTCTCCTTCCTTTTCAGGCATGCCGTGGTACAAACCTGGATGAGGGAGTCATTGAGACCGACAGTGTTGGAGACGGGCAGACGTCTGAGAAGATTCCTGTGGAGGCCGACTTCTTATACGCCTATTCCACTGCTCCAGGTACAAACAGTGTTTTCTGTTATCTTAATAGGCTACATCACATTTTAGCTAAAGGGTGGACTCACACGGAAGGCAGTGGGAAAAGGTGAGCTTTATTTGAACTGATGGCAAAGTCCATAAAAAAGACCAAAAAAAGTGCAAATAATACTTAATCTCCAAAAAATTAAAAGATAAGAAATGGCAGGTAAAAAATAGACACTTTGCTAAAGAACACAGGAGAGACAGGGATTTACACGCTTACTGCGATAAGATCAATGCTTTAAGCTCAGGATGTAGCCCACATACAGAAATGGGACATTAAAATATATGCCTCAAACATGTGGGAGAAAAAAAGGGGGAAACTATTAGATCACGGCACTCTGCTGTCCTGCATCAGTTGCCTTTTCAAGTCAAAAGTGTCTATATTTGGCACGTCTGTCTGTTTCTGAACTCAGAGTTTTCAGAGTTGTGTTTAATTTTGGGGTTTTTATTTCCATTCTTTCTTCAGGTCGTCTGGTTCTTGATTTTGTTTCTGTCTGGTTTCATTGGGTTTTTTCATTAGGATAATGACACAAGAGATGTCAAACTAAATGCAAAACACAGGAGACAATGACTACCAAAATAAGAGAGGAAATGAAAACAAGCCACTGAAACAGGGAGATGTGGATACAAGAACGTTATGGGATGAATAACAATAAAAGAACAAACTCTAACTAAGAAGAAAAGAGGAACAGGATACTATGACATAAATCATCATCAATTTAACATTTCTGGACACACTTTAGTGACCACTAAACCTCTGTGATTTTTTTTTACAATAACTAGTTTAGCTTTTCGTGGATTTTGACTCTGGAATATCTGTTTTTAATTTGTTGTATGAATAAAATACAACTCTTCATTATACTCAGACATCTTTCATGGTTCATTTTTGAGGTATATTTTTTTCTGCTCCAGTACCATCATTTAGCTAACTGATTTGACTGGGCTGGATATATAATTAAATGTCTTAATACAGCCTTTAGGTGATCAGTCGGCTAAAGTAACAGCTAAGATGACTGTGGCAAGGACCACACACACACACAGCGTTGTCAGTTTATTCTGTTTATTGTCTATGGCAGTAGATTCTGTTGCTTTGGTGCTCTGCATGCTGGAAACGGTCACTCCAAGGCTGCTGCCACACACACGTTTTTCTGCTCTGCTGTCACTGAAAAAGAACTGAGCCAGCACACCTGTGTTTCAACCACGCCTTCCTGTGAGCTCACTGTGTTGTCCCTCCCCTGCAGCAGGCCAGAGGCCACACCTCTGCCACAATGACTAACAACCGTAACTTACCTCTAAACAATGTGTTGCTTTCTCACTCACTGCAACCTACATGGCTCTGCTTGATGCTGCTGAGTCACATGACCGCAGGAGATCGGAATGCAGTAGAGCAGGGAGGAGGGGCGGAGCAAAGTGTGCCTGCATGAGAGGAGCATTGCTTCCACATGTCTCCTTTCTGATGAATGGGAGCAACTTACAGGGGACGGACAAACTAAAGCATTGAGCGTATTGGGCTAGTATTGATCCAATACCAGCCCCGGTATCAGTTCTATCGATATCTTACTGCATAAAATGATATTAAATTAAATTGAGTACCATCGTAGTAATAATAAACACACAGCTGAACTAAACAGATGCCCTCCCATAGATCAGTGTTTTGTATCAGTCACCAGTCCAGCTACTATTAGTGTCAGGATTGTGTATTATAGTGAACGATCGCCTCCTCGTTGTGTTTTCTAAGAGCGCTAACACTGTCACTCGTCCTGCAGGATACTACTCATGGAGAAACACAACCTACGGCTCCTGGTTCATACTGATGTTGTGTGAGATGTTGGAGCGCTACAGTGGGAAGCTGGATCTGATGCAGATCATGACGCGAGTCAACTACGGTGTTTCACGCTACTTCGAGTCCTCCAGCAACCTGCCTGGCTTTGGTTGCAATAAGCAGATCCCCTGTATCGTCTCTATGTTGACCAAAGACTTTTACTTCCCCGTCTAGATTTACATGGTTGAACCTCAATCATCTTTGTTCTCCTTGACCAAATGCAAAGTCTGGTGCTGTGCTGCAGCTGATGCAAAGCAGGATGATAGTGATTTAAATGTGACTAAACCCATTTGCACAATTGGCACTTAGATTAGTGATACTTTCATTGATTTTAGTGTTGGATGTATGTTTGTATTAAAGTGAAAAAAAAAAACCTTAACAGTGTTGCGACAGTTTCCATCTGTATTTTCTGCGCGCTCCGCACGTTTTCGCTGTCTGTCGTAGGTTTATGTTTTGTTGGCCTAACAATGGCATGTTTTTGGACCTCATATTGAGAGTTCCAGTGAACATCTACCAAACTCAGGTTCAACACTTTGAATCATCAGTTCTTTCTGAGCCTTTGAAAATGGGAGGTTATGTGTAAAACATTTAATTCAATACATGTGTTAAAATCCTTGAATTGAAGCTGAAGGTCCGCACTTCAGTCACATCTTCTTTGTTTGACTTAAAGTCCACTCTGGTGGCGTGCAGAAGCAGCAGTCCACACACTCATAGAGCTGACCATATGACAGGCCAGATGTTTTGTATTTTGAACCAACGGTGTGAACATGCAGCCACTAGAGGAGGCCAGAGGAACAACTAACGTGGTTCTCAGAGGCCTTTAATGACTCAGCAGGTTTCAGGAACTGAAACTGTGGCCCAGTTTAACCCTTGATGCACCGACCATGTGGAAGTGCTAATTTGAAAACGAGAAAAGAAATAAGACTTTCTGTTTAGACAGTTGTCGGCTTCTTCTTCTTCTTTTTCTAATTCTTCCGTTTTTCTTTTTAACCGTCTGTATTCTGCGTAGAAGGCAGCTTCTGTCCGGGGCCCACTGCTGTGAAATACAAACTCCTTGGATAGGTTTGTCAGACCCCTCCCCGGGCTCAGCTGTGTGTGTCACAGAGATAACCCTGACCCCGTGGAGAGCTGGCACACTTTCCATTTGTTGAGGATCGAGTGTGGAGGTTGGAGCTTCTCAGACATCACGTTTTCCATTCCCAGATTTTGACAAAGCTGTTTTCTCTTTGCTGTAAACAGAAACAGTGTGCGGAGTGACTCACCGGCAGAACAAATAACACCAAATGTAACAATCATAAACGAATGGGGAAATTCAGTACGTGTGAGTGTGCCAGTGGAAGCCTTATCTTCAGAGTTTCCATTAAAAACAGACACATGTCATGCATACATGCTGCTGTGTTGGGAATCTGTCGATCTGCTGCTAGCTTGCAGACATTTTCATGTGAAACTGCACAGCTCAGTTTCGATTCTTCTTTTGAAAGAATGAACGGAATCACTGCGTGCACTACTCTAAACTGCAGCTTGACTCTGGGCCACAGCTACACACTTAGAGGAGAAACATTACAAACGTGTCCTTTCCACACAACGGCAGGTGTGCTGTTGCCAACCCCTTAAACACACACACAGTTGTGAGAAGTTTCTAGTTTCGTTTCCAGTTGCAGTGGCGGAGAAAGAAAAGGAGCTGTGGGGGCGACGAAGGGAGAGAGACACAGAGGAAGTGAAAATGAAATTCAGCTCAAAGATCGTTTATGTCCTAAGAATAAACGATTTGGGGGGAGGGGGAGTCATTTCCGCCGTGTTTCACCTGCTTGCACATTTAAACACGTATTTGCTACAGTTAGCTAGGACATGTATTCAGGTACTAGTCACTGAGCTATGTATATGTAGCCTAGTCGTGCAGTGATTTAATGTTGGTGTTTTGCAGTGGCGTGGCAAGGTGAATGGTAAAAAAGATAATTAAAAAACCCCAAAACACAACGGAGTGAGCCATCTTCGCTTTGGCGTGTGCGAGCGCACGCGAGACTTCACGACGCTCGAGACCGACCCAAAGCGAGAGCACGAGAGCAGGAGGGGGATTTCCAGCTCTGGCCCCCACTTCCCGAAGCGGCCGTTGTTTTGCTTTCGGTCTGAATGCAGAAACAGAAATAAACGACGACCACACTTTCCCTTTTCCACTTAAAACCTCGAACACGTTAATCTGTCCGGCTTTGGCTGTTCTTCTTATTCCGACAGCGGGACTGTGGAGCCCGAGGCCGTCCAAACCTAACAGGTAACATCTTATTTCCGCATATTAACGTCGCTGCCTTGCGCTCCCCTGGCCACACTGACTTCCTACAGGGCGACATGACGGATCCCTAGCTCAAGTGAAAGTAGTTCTGCAGTTTGTCTCCGCGTTTCATGACTCGGTATGGGATTTATTTTCACTTTTGACTTCGTTGTTTTGGGTCAGCTCGGTGGCAGGCGGTAGACACACAGGGCGCGATAAACTTCTGACTTGACCCCCGCTGCTAAAGCAGACTCGACTCCAGAACAAACACGTTACTAACGTTGGAAAGTCAGCGCTGATGTGGCTGTTTACCTGGAATTGTTAATATTTGCTAGCATCCTCCCGCTCTTTGAAGTGTACAGTGTTTATCTGTTTGTAACTGTGTGTATTTACCGTGTTATAATGTGAGTAGCAGCGGGACTGAGCCGTGAACAGTATTCAGGTCTTAGTGCGTGTTATTTACACTGAAAACACTACAAGTGTTATATTGTCTGCACTCCGTGACAGGTAACTTACCATGTTTAGCAGTATAAAAATAAATGTGCTATACACTGAAGAAATAATAATAGTAATACTATTAATAATTTAAAAAGTAGTATTGATGTTATAATATTGAATGTTATATTTTTAAATGTACAGTTGGACTATATTTGTGTAGACACCGTTATGTACACAGTGTAAATACATATTTCAACTCTTCTTGATCCAATTTTTCCGCATTATCAGCAGCAAATGTTCCTCATTGTGCAATTAGTAAAAAACAGAAGAAAGCACACATAGTGCCACGCACTATGATGACATGTTGGTCAGAAATCAGTATAGTTTGCGTCAACGGTTTAACCGCATTCATTTAACCCTAAAGTCCCGCTGTGATGATTCCCCCTTCCACCTATTAAACATCTGCTTATTGAAATGTATTCACACATGTGCTGTTCTCTCAGAGGACTTAGATGCAGTCTGTCTCTCTGAAAAACGGAGCGGAAACATAACATAGTGCTGAGTTAAGTGAATTTGGCGAATGCGTTAAAATAGATCTGGGTCTTTTTTTTCCCCTTCAATTGTCTTTCTGTTAGAAAATGTCTTCTGTCAGCGTCACATACTCTGAAATAAAACTGTAAGTTTTTACAAGTATATCTGTAGTTAAACTGCATGTCTGTGAGTGATGAAAATATTAATAAAATATTAATATCCACAGACGTAATTTAAGAACAAACAAATGCTCGTATTTGTGAATGTGAGCGTGCTGCTTTTAACGTGTGAAGTAAGCTGCGGTCAGAATTTGGGTGATAAATCAGGATGAAGAGATACCTGGGTCGTTTTTACTATATATGAACTAATGAGCTGTCTTATCTGTGAATAAATAAATAAATTTCTTGTCATGAGTCGCTAGTGTGACTGTAAGTAACCTGTGTGAATGATTTCTAACTGATGCTGTGTGTCATGTAGTCTGTTGGGAACACCTGAGACAGTTGTCTGTCTTTCCAAGACCAGCAAAGTCTGCTTTTGAAGCACACAGCACAGTTTGTTTGCACAGTGATCGGTGCAGCGCCCCCTGTTGCATCTGAGTTAAACAGCAGTGGCACATTTTATCATATGTAAACTTAATGTGCTTCATGTATGAGATAAAAACATGTAGGATTACAGTGCCTTAAAGTAAACAAGTGTAAGCCTGTGCAAACAAAAAAGGTTTTGAGTCTGTTTTTGAATGCTGCATGCACAGGTGTAACTGATCTCAGGTCAGCAGTAACTGAAGCACCCGCAGCATACTTGGATCTGCTTGTAGGAGCGTTTGCCCTGCACCTGATGGCAGCCTGACTAGGTTGTTAACAGTGAGCAAGTCAAAGATGCTTCAGGTGTGCAAACCACTGAGAGCTTAGTGCGCTGATAGGACTTTAAAGGTGAAATATCAGTTTTTGTTTGCTGAAGTCATTTGCGTTGAGATTTGGTGACACAAAGCTGTCTCTTATTGATATTTGCGTGGGTTGTTTAGTTTTCATTTTTGGGCACCAGGGGCTGTGTTGAAGTGGGACGTGGGCCCTGTGTTTTGCCCATGTGTGCCATTTGTGCTGCACTCCTTGTATCTTTTTCAGCTTGTGTTTTCTGTAGTGATATTGTGAGCTTTCACTGAGCAGACGCAGCTGAAAGGCTCAGCCTTGTTTGATATTTTGGATTTGATGCTGTGCTGTTTCACCTTGTTTAACCTGTTGGGGAAGCACTGCGCTGGCAGGGAGTGTCTGCCTGACTGGACTTTGATCAGGTTTGTGTGCAGAGATCATCACTCTGCCGTTAAATCAAATGTAGCGACATGGGTGGGCTAAAGTTTTCTGGGACGGTTATGAGCTCTGTGTTCATTTTTTCCTCTTGGTCCATTGTTGTTTCATTTCAGGTGTCGTTCTCTGGAACAGTGTGAGGCTGAGTGTAGAGCTACAAACATGAGCTGACATTTTTATTTATGAACCGTGTTTTATGGCTGCTGTTCTTTGCGAACACATTAAAGAGCCTGGCCAAGAGTTTTATCTTTACAAGCACACACAGATCTGATTCAACTGTGTTCCATACCTCACTCTGAAATGATGACTATGAATGGGGAAAAAACATCAGTGGGGGGCTGCTATGCTAATTTCCAGCTCTACTTGAGTAGCTCTGGGTGATTCATGGTTCAGAATTGTTCTTGTTTGTCGTTGGCGCGGTGCAGCCGCTCCGTTCATCCTGTGTGAAACAAGATTTTTTTAAGTGTTCTTGCACAGTGAGCATCATGGCAGATCACGTATTACAGCATTTCTGTTATTTTTTTTAAAGTTGCTACAATATGCTATAATGTGTAAAAAAACATCTTTGAATCCCAGTATCAATACCAGTGCTCACACATTCATAATAATGTTTCTGTGTGTGTGACTTCACAGACCGCAATGCCAGTAGAACGAATGAGGATGAGACCCTGGTTACAGGAACAAATCGAATCCTGTCAGATTCCAGGGCTGAAATGGCTTAACAAAGTGAGTGTTGTCACACACACACACACACACACACTGAAATTCAAGATGATGTAAACAATGTAAATTGTTTGTAGGAGAAGAGGATCTTCCAGATTCCTTGGATGCACGCTGCCCGTC